TATTCGTATTAGAATTGGCATATTGTTATTAATATTAATGTTGATATTAATATTAGTATTAGACTATTAGTATTAATATTAGAATTAGTATAAATAGTAACATTATTAGTGATGGTTTTAGTATTAATATTAGTATTGGTATTAGTATTATCAATGTTAGTTTTAGTATTAGTAGTAGTAGTAGTTGTTGTTAGTGTAATATTAGTATTAATATTAGGGTGACATAGGCAATTGTACGCCGCAATGTCCAGAGCTAAAAATAGATTTGGGATAAAAGATAGTTATTAACTCAGAATCGGGCGATATAACTAAAATTAGAGCAATGTTGTGTGTACAAAAGATTTTTTTTCAGCGAATATGAAGGTAAATCACAACCAATATATTTTGATTCAATAAAAGATTTTTTTGGTATTATTTACATGTATGTCAATTGTTCAATGTTTTCGTTCGTTTTCTTTCATCCAATTTCTTTTAAATGATCCCGTGTATCGCACGGGTGAATTACTAGTTTCTTAATATTAGGTATTCCAATTTTGATACAAAAAATAAAATCGGGAAAATAGGAACCGTAATTCGTGGAATTAGGAATGAAAAACATTGTTTAATAATAAAAAAATTCGAATCGCAATCCACATAAATGGTAATTATTTTATTATATTCAGCTTAACTTTATTTTACATTAAGATAACAAATATTTAAGGTCACACACTATCGATGAGAAAATAGTATAGAAATAAATCTACAGGGGTGACACACACACACACACACACACACACACGAAAAGTAGCAAAGTACACGTGGCAGATATAGGGCTATCCGGATTTGAAGCGGTAAAACTTGCCGATGACGTGTAAAGCAGTGACAAATCCGATGAAGCAGAGGCTCATGAAAAGAACCACGGTGGGGCTGATCTTCAGCCCCGGCGAATCATCCGTGTAGAATCTAAGCATGTTGTTGCCAGATCCGCCGCCGCCACCGGCCGACGAGTTGACCGTAGAAGAACCACCGCCCAGCCTCCGCCGACGCATCCCTGCAGCGGCGGCGGCTGATCCACGCGGTGGTGCCGTGGTACCGGGGCGGGAGGTGGAGGAAGCTTGTGACTGGGAGGAGCCACGCGCCATTGATGATAATCGATAATTGAAGGATGAAGTTGACACGTAATGAATTAAACTAAAATATTGAGTTGATGAAGGGTCATGGTTGCAATATATGAAAGTTTGATGGGCCTAAATTGTATTAAAGTTAAATACCCCTGTACATATGGTTCCACAATTAATTAGACTACTCCGAGCCCATCAACATAAAAAGAAATTTTAAATAGTTTTTATTATTTTCTTTTGTGACTATTATTATAGTGGTTGTGATATGCCTATTGGGCCAACCCAATGGGCCTACAAGTTATTTACTTATTGGGTCACGAGCCCAATATCGAAGACCAATATCACCGAGGCCCAAACACCTTCAAGTAAGGCTTGGGCCCAACAAAGCAAACTCAACCCAATAAACGACATATAAATAGAGGTTTTCCTCATTTTATTAAGGTACGTCCTATTAACTGAGCAATACTACAATACGTATTCTCTGGACTATTTCTATGATCAGCACGTCTGACTTGAGCGTCGGAGGGGTTTCCGCCGGATCAACCCCCGGCGTAGTTCACGTGTGTTCATTTCGCAGGTACCTCAGGATCATCAAGTTGTCAAGCTACTGATCCGCTTTGCTCTCCCAATACATTTTCTACACTACCCCAGGTGATCTAAACTTTAGCATCATCATTCTGGCGCCGTCTATGGGAACGATGCAAACCAGATCACGTAGCCAACAAGATCCTCCTGAGGCGTCTGCTCGGAGAGAAAATGACACAGCTAACGACCTCCCACCTCGTGGAGGCTCTGGCTTGCCACCTCCTTCACATCCCATGGATCCGCCTCGCGAGGTTCAGGTGACCCCCCTCGGGACCCATGACGCAGAACGGAAGCACGGTAAAGAATTAATTTCTACGAATTAATCCTATAGAACAAAATAACATTCGAAATCCACCGAAAACTCTGGAATCCACCAGAAAAATAGAGAAAACTCTAAATATTTTATTAAAATTCGAAATTCTCCTTAAAATAAAGTCCTAAGGCACCTATTTATACTAAAAAACTGAAAACCCTAATTAAACTAAAAAAATAATAAAAATTACCAAAAACGGCAAAAACGAGTTAGAGTCTGATTCTAGTAGATCTCTTAATTTTGGGAACAACCCAATTTACGGAATCCTAATCCGGTTTTTCTATGATTTGATATTAATTTTCTAAAACTTACCTAAAATAGCAAAAACGTAACTTTTAGGAGTCCAAACGACGTTGGATTGCTGAAATTTGACGTGATTCATGAGCTTTGCTCATGAGTTTTGTTCCTTGCGCCGTTTTACTTGAGATAGAGTTCGTTTCGTACTCAAATACAATTTGAGTTCGTTGAAAACCCTTATTTTTCCGTAATTTCTTTCGGTATCTCCACCGATGCCCATAAATAACTCTTCTACGAATTAAATAGTTATTTTCCAATTCGAATCCAATTTGGCGTTCCTTATCAACCCACCACTCGCCGATCCACCACTCCCTGCTCCTCGAATGGTTCAAATAACCGAGGATGCGCTTCAACACATGATGGCAGAAGCTTCAACTCGCGCTGCCACAGAGGCCGTGACTCAATATATCGCCACGATGGGAGCAAATGCTCCCAACGCGATACCAGTACCTGCTCCACATGTGGAGCCACCTATGGCACCACCGCCATCGACTCCCTGGGGGCTTACATCTGCCCCCAAAATATCTTGATCGCCAAGGGTTATCGACTCCCTGGGGGCTTACATCTGCCCCCAAAATATTTCGCTCGCCAAGGGTTATCGACTCCCTGGGGGCTTACATCGCCCCCAAAATATTTCGTTCGCCAAGGGTTATCGACTCCCTTGGGGCTTACATCTGCCCCCAAAATATTTCGTTCGTCAAGGGTTATCAACTCCCTGGGGGTTCACATCGCCCCCAAAACATTTCATTCGTCATAGCAGGAGCCAACGCTCCTCCTCGTGAGGCCCCACTGGGTCCTCAACATGATCAATTTCTACTTACTTCTCGAACGGTTCAGATAACCGAAGAAGACCTTCAGCGTATGATTACGGAAGATTCAACTCGTGCTGCCACTGAATCAGTGGCACCATATATCACCAAGGTTGGGCATCTCACCCCAGTGGTTCGTGATCGCCTCATCCTAAATGAGGGCTATCACATCCTAAAGTTGGGCATCTCATCTCAAGGGTGGTACATCCACTTACCTTTCAACCCCAAGGGGTTTCACATCTCATCAAGTGTTTCACGTCCCTACTTCAAAAACAGAAAAAGGGTCTGACGCGCACACGCGGTCTCGAGCGCATGGGCAATTATCGACATCCTAAAGTTGGGCATCAACGTTACCTTACATCCCCAAGGGGGTGCACATCCCATCTCAAGGAACGAGGATAATCTCCCTACTCAAAAAATAGAACATCCCCAAGGGGGTGCACATCCCATCTCAAGGAACGAGGATAATCTCCCTACTCAAAAATAGAACATCCCCAAGGGGGTGCACATCCCATCTCAAGGAACGAGGATAATCTCCCTACTCAAAAAATAGAACATCCCCAAGGGGGTGCACATCCCATCTCAAGGAACGAGGATAATCTCCCTACTCAAAAAATTGAACATCCCCAAAGGGGTGAACATCAATTAAAAAAAAAAAAAAAAAAAAAAAAAAGAAGAAGAAACAACCCGTGCACAGCACGCGCGTGAAAAAACAGAAGAAAGAAGATGAAAAAAAAATAAGACGAAAAAATAGAAGAAAAAAGAAGAAGATGAAAAATAGAAGAAGAAAAAAGAAGATGAAAAAATACAAGAACAAGAAGAAGAAAAAAGAGAGTAAAAGAAGAAGAAACAGAAGAAGAAAGAAGAAGAAAAAGAAGAAGATGAAAAAATAGAAGAAGAAAGAAAAAATAAGAAGATAAAAAACAAAAAGGGAGGAAAGGCAGCCGAGCCGCGCGCGCGCGGCTCCAAAAAAAAAAAAAAAAAAAAAAAAGGATGGCGCGCGTGCACAGCACGCGCGCGTGGAGAACACGCGCCTGACGCGTGCACAGCACGCGCGCGTCAGCAAAAAAACAAAAACAAAAAAAAGAAAAAAAGAAGATGCGCGCGTGCTGTGCACGCGCGCGTCAAAAAAAAAAAAAAAAAAAAAAAAAAAAAAAAAAAAAAAAAAAAAACGCGCGCGCGCCTTCCCATGCACGCGCGCGCGCCTCCCAAGGCCTCCTTGGAGAGTGCGCTCCCATGTAATTGGACTCAACTTTCACCGCCCTCCACCAAATTGCGCGTAGATTTTGACTCGCTTCTCCAAATTGCACGAGAATTTCAACGCGCTCCACCAAATTCCACGAGCTCTTTAACGCACCTACCAAATAACGTTCGTTATCAAATGGAAAATTAAAAAAAAAAATTATTTCTCCACGCCATGCCAACGATTAACGCAAGACTACAGCACCGATCTACTCCCAATACGATCCGGTACCCCTTTCGACTTGGCTCCCACATCGTCTCGAGAGTGGGGGGCTTGCGAGACAACTTCCACGAGGAGCCAACTCGCTCAGTACTACCAGCCGCAGCGAGACAACTCCCACGAGGAGCCAACTCCCTCGGGTCTACGAAACCATAGCGAGTTAACTCCCACGAGGAGAATACTCGCTCTGTCCTATAACCCGTCGCGAGGCAACTCCCACGAGGAGCCAATTCCCTCGGGTCTCAACGCCATAGCGAGATAACTCCCACGAGGAGCAAACTCGCTCGGCCCTACACACTCGTTGCGAGACAACTCCCATGAGGAGTCAACTCCATCGGTATTACGAACCCGTAGCGAGACAACTCCCACGAGAAGCCAACTCGCTCGGAACTACAACCTGTAGCGGGACAACTCCCACGAGGAGATAACTCGCTCCGTCCTACAACCCGCAGCGAGACAACTCCCACGAGGAGCCAACTCCCTCGGGTCTACGAAACCATAGCGAGATAACTCCCACGAGGAGACCACTCGCTCCGTCTTATAACCCGTTGTGAGATAACTCCCACGAGGAGCCAACTCCCTCGGGTCTCATAACCACAGCGAGATAACTCCCACGAGAAGACCACTCGCTCTGTCCCACAATTCGCAGCGAGACAACTCCCACGAGGAGCCAACTCGCCCGATACTACAACTCGTAGCGAGACAACTCCCACGAGGAGCCAACTCGCTCGGTACTACAACCGGCAGCAAGATAACTCCCGCGAGGAGATAACTTGCTCAGTCATATAACCCGTTGCGAGGCAACTCCCACGAGGAGTCAACTCCCTCGGGTCTACGAACCCACAGCGAGTTAACTCCTACAAGGAGACCACTCGCTCCATCCTACGACCCACAGCGAGGCAACTCCCACGAGGAGCCAACTCGCTCGGTACTACGAACCCGTAGCGAGACAACTCCCACGAGAAGCCAACTCGCTTGGTACCACAACCCGCAGCGAGACAACTCCCACGAGGAGCCAACTCGCTCGATACTACAAGTCTGTTGCAAGGCAACTCCCACGTACAACCACCTCGCTCGATAATAAGATTCGCTGCGAAACAACTCCCACGAGGAGACAACTCGCTCAGAGCAACCTCAATCCGCACGCTCCTCAATCGCGCGTCATCCAATGCTCCTACAACTTCGATGCAAGACAACTCTCTTGAAGAGACAACTCGCTCGCAAATGCACTACATAATCGCAAGCTCAAGTTAGCACGATTACAACCCTAGAAACACTTAGAGATATTATGAGAATCTATATAGCCTGGCCAGCTTGATTACTCAAAATTTATCTACTTGTTTTCGATGGGTCCTTCATTAAAACGTGGTCACGGTCCAAACATACTTACGACCCACGAGGTCTAACAAGGGGCACGACCCCCATAAAAAAACTCTTGAGAGCCTGATCCCCTCCTCAAGTACATCACACACAAGGCTATATGTAAACACATACAAGCAACGCGTCAAAACATTGACAATGTCGATAAATAACAACTCCCACGAGGAGAATACTAGCTCCATGCTACTACATTATCACGACACAACTCCCACGAGGAGATAACTCGATCAACTCTATTACCCCCCGACGAGACAACTCCCACGAGGAGATTACTTGATCCGTGCTACCACATTATCGCGAAACAACTCCCACGAGGAGATAACTCGATCAACTATATTACCCCGCGACGAGACAACTCCCACGAGGAGACAATTCGCTACTACATCGTCGCGGGACAACACCGACGACTCAAATAACTTACATAGTGACAACTTAGTCGCGCCAACGCGCATTCACGCCCCTCCGACACACGCTCCAATGCATTTTCGCACACCATCAGGCCATATGCCAAAGAACGAACACTACAATTTTCACTCTCGACACGATTGAGAACCCATTTCGACATGGCCCCCACATCAACTCGAGAGTGGGGGGCTTAATGATATGCCTAATTGGGCCAACCCAATGGGCCTACAAGTTATTTACCTACTGGGCCACGAGCCCAATATCGAAGACCAATATCACCGAGGCCCAAACACCTTCAAGTAAGGCTTGGGCCCAACAAAGCAAACCCAACCCAATAAACGACATATAAATAGAGGTTTTCCTCATTTTATTAAGGTACGTCCTATTAACTGAGCAATACTACAATACGTATTCTCTGGACTATTTCTATGATCAGCACGTCTGACTTGAGCGTCGGAGGGGTTTCCGCCGGATCAACCCCCGGCGTAGTTCACGTGTGTTCATTTCGCAGGTACCTCAGGATCATCAAGTTGTCAAGCTACTGATCCGCTTTGCTCTCCCAATACATTTTCTACACTACCCCAGGTGATCTAAACTTTAGCATCATCAGGTTGCCTATGTCGATTGTTGTCCACGCTCGTCCGCATTGGTTGTCGAGCAATGCCCATGTCAGCCACAAGTCTAGTCAAGAATCACTACTCGTGCACTTGCCGAGCAATTACGCGAGTATTGTAGACTCATCACTTGTGCCACATGTCAGGCGGCCATGTCCGTGTCAGCCGCCAAGTACTCTCGATCACTGCTCCCGTTCGAAAATCAAGCATATATCATTCCTTGTTTTCTCGAACAAGCACCCAAAATGCCTCCACAATACTTGACCACTCATTGACCGATGTATGGTTGTCTAGCGCCAACCCTCACTTGATACAATTTTTCAGCCATGACTCGACTACACTCGAGTCATAGCTGATATCTCCTACTAGGGGGCTAACAAATACCTCACTCAAACTATTGCATTTTACATAATATATTTCTTCATTCAAGATTTAAAAAAAAAATTGACAATTCATCTTTTTCTCTATTACAACACTTTATTTACACAATTAAGTTGCATGTAAACCAGGGCATCAATCAAGCCTCTAAAAAAGAAAAAAAAAAATTAAAGAAGAAAAAACAAACACACCCCACATCTCAAGCTCCATACATATTGAATTCTTCTAAATAAATATGCATCAAAAGACCCTTCATTTATATTCCAATATTTCCCCAAATTGCCCTTCAATTTATGGAATTATTTACTAGCTGATCTCTTATCAAACGAAAAGTCCTTAGGCATCATTAAGCCGCCATCAACATCGATCTCGTGCTGCTCACGTGGCGCCGCCACGTGGCGCGAATCGGTGATCTCATGGCGATGGAGCTCCTCCGCCACACGCTCCAGTAAACCTAACTCAATGTGATTATTGGGTGGGGGCGGGCCCACGGTGATCCAACGGTCCACGTCAATATCATGGTTTGGTGACTTTGTCGGGGATTCAAATGTCTCCGTTTCGCTCCGGTGGTGGCGGAGCAGGTGCACCGGAGACATGCCGGTGGAGGGGGTGGCGGGCCGGCTCGACATCGGGGTGGTGGGCCCCGAATGTTGGTGGTGCTTGGCTTGCTTGATGTGTTTCTTGGCGGTGTGGTGCCAGTTCTTTAGCGCCGCTGCCACTCGTTCGTTGAATATCGTCGGTTTCATCGATGATCCCATCTGTACATGCGTTTATAAAAAAAAACTAATTAAACTAATCACATATTAAACAAAACTAATTAGTATATGTAGAAAATTAAACACATTATATTGTCTCTCTCTCTCTCACACACATTACATGCATGCATGCATACGTACCTGAGTGACAAGGGCATAAAGTGGGAGAGTGACATAGCTGCAAAGGATCTGTATGATAACCCTGCTCATCATATACACACAACATATATAGCCAATTAGTTATGATAGATTAATTTAATTAACCTAGTTTAATAATTGACTTAATTAGGTGGATATACAAAATTAAAATAAAGCAAAATAATCAACAATTTATGACGTGGCCTCACCCCATTGAGATTCTGATTATGATATCCTCAACTTTTTCATGGAAACAAGATTTTAACCCAAATTCGTACTGTCACACCAAAATAATTATATCACTAATTAATTGTCACACTTCAATTCAATATATATATATATATAATGAATATGTATTTTATTTAATGCAATATTAAATAAATCAATAATCTTACCCAAGTCCAGGCAAAGAAGGCCAACTGAAATGCGTTCTGATCGAAACAAAATTAGCAACGTTAATTCAAGATTACAAGATTATAACCAAAAATATCGAATATATAAATTTTAATCGAGTAATAACCCAAATTCTAAAAATAGTTTATCGAAATTAATATAAATTAAATGGGAGATTAAATTACCTGAAAAAGTACAAAATTAATGAGGTAAAGAATGAGACGAGGGCGGTTGAACCAGAAAAGGTCGTCTCCGGGTTGAACCACGGGCACACCCTTAACCACCTCGCCCCGCTCTTGAATCCTTAATCCCATTTTCGTTATTATCACTTGTAGTTTCGTCCCTACCAGCAATATTATCTGTAATTTCAACAAAAAAAATTTTATCGAACATTTATTATATCGAATTCAAAAACTTTGAATTACCTAAAGTAAATATTTTGAATTTTTTTTTTCTGAACTCAAATATTTTTGAAAATTTAATATATTGAAATATGCTTACAATCAATGGGATGAATGGCAGCCATAGATACGAATACCACCCTGAAATATGACAAGTTTATTATATAGTTTAGAGATACGTACAAGTCTCTGATTTAGAGTAATTAAATACTAAATATTTTTATATAAATAATCCTCTTTTTTTTTTAATTAATTAGGTCCAATTAAAAAAAAATCTAATAATGTTCAATTGAACAAATTATATGAGAAAAAAATAATATTTATGCATATATATATAGATATAGATACATATTCTCTTACCATGAGTGTTAAAAAGTAGGAACAGCACGGCAAAAAACCAGATAGGGGGACTGAAACAAAAATTGAAGGCCAAATATATAAGTTTGATTTACGGTAATTTAATCGTACGAAAAAAAAATAGTTTGGGGTGTAATTTTTTTTTTTTTTCCCGAAAAATTAAATAAATGAAGCACGAATTAATTCGAACCTAATTCCGACAACAACTTTGAAGTCCTCTTCGAGTGACCGATTGATATACTTCTGAAAATCAAATTTGGCGTGGCTTTGTGGTGCCAAATGTGCCTGGTGTCGATAAAACTAGGGATTAATAAAACGAACGATAAATAATTTCAAAAATTTATAAAAAATAAAATGGTGAGTAGTAGTAATTTTACCATGATAAATCCGTGACGTAGAGTCAAATAATCGACTTTCGGAACAGATCTCACGAATTGCCTAAAAAAACAAACCTGAAATCGGGGGGAAAAAATGGAAAAAAAAAATAAATAAATAAATAATAAGAAGAAGATGTCACTACCAAATTTTGAATTAATTTGTGATAATATTACATGCTACCAAAAATGAGTGGGACTTGTAAATAAAATAGATTTATCCTTTATTTTTTTTCTTCGTTTTACATTCAAGTGGATTACGACAGAAGAAAATAAAAAAACGTGAAAACAATTAGAAAAAAAAAATATGGAGAGGAGAAAGTCAACACTATGTCTTGAAAAAACGTCAAACCAATGGATATGCATGAATGAAAGAATCATTTTATTACATAGTCCCATTCACACTACTTACAATAAATATATATTTTCCATCATTTAATTAAATAAATATTTTAATTTAATTGGTAAACTCTTTATTATTTTTTTTCGACTTCAATATGAATTGAATTAATTACTATAATTTATAACTCGGACCCTACTATTTGGGATATGGATCACCTATCAAGTATCAATCATACATTAATATCCATTAATCATACAACGTACGTACGAGTTGATTAGAGCGTGATTAGGACATGTTATTAACCGTAATAATCAAATAATTAATTAATTAATTAATTAATACTTACGATCCACATCAAAATGGGAGTTTTGCTCCAGAAGCTCAAGTGCCTTCTCCCAAACGATGTTTCTCTTGCAAACCTAAATCTCTCCGGATCTGCATGCATGCACGCAATGAAATAAAATTAATTACTCAAAATCTATCAAAAAAAAATCAAAAAAAAACTAACGTATCGGGAAGTTGCAAATACTAGCATTTTAGTGCAGTCAGCACACACAAGCGTCCATAACATTCGATTGTGACTGCCCGTTAATTAGGTATGAATATAAATTGATTACGTACCGTGTGAGAATTGGTATTCAGCTGTTCTTGTTTCTCTTTCCCATGCCTTCCATCTTCTCATCTAAAATTAAAAAATTAAAATAAATTAAAACAATCATTAATAGATTTTTTTGTATATCAAATTAAATATAACACACACCTTAGCTCTTCCAAGGGCCATGGTAAGAATGCAGTAGAGGACATGAAAAATAGCCAAAACAAATATGAAAATATGTAGCTGATGGATTGCATCAGCAGACACAAACGCCACTTTACCCTGCAAATTATTTATTAATTAGTAATTAATTATTAATACAATAAATATTCTAATTAGAAGTAATTATATCAATAATTATTTATTTATTGTCATCTTATGTTGTTGCCTTGGCTGCGCAGTTATCAGTTCCGGCAGCTGCCAAGTTCCGCCGTAAGCTGCCGCCGCCGGCGGTAAGAAGTTTCCGGCGGCTTTCGTCTCCGAGGACGGGATCCTTGTAATAATATTTCTCTTGTTTCTTGCTGCATGGGTGCCACGTGGCGCCCACCTCCTCTGATATACATATGTCCGAGATTGGGCTTTGCCCTACTGTCAGCAGCAAGGATATAAACCCTAGCAGCATCAACTCTTTCACCACATGCACACAAAAATTATCCAATTTCATTAATCAAATAAGTATTAAATAAAAAATCATATATATAATATATATATTTTTTTAATTTAATAGGAAAAATAATAAACATTTTATTAGTGTGTATAATATGTAAAATACCTGATTTGACCTTCTCGAGTGCTTCGTACAAAGCCCTTTTGTGTTTCGACTTCAGCCACTGTGTAAATATTTCAAAACAAACTATTAACACTAGCGTAGCCAAAATTTTAAATTTGTGGGGCCCGAATATATTAAAACATAGAATCTTTACAACAAATATAGAAATTCAAGAATAGTTGGGGAGGGGCCATGGCCCCCTCTGGCCCTATTCTGATTCCGCCACTCCTATTAAACAAATTTTGCAAATTGTTCTTGCACATTAAACACACGCGCGCGCGCGCACACACACATATATATATATATATATATACACACGATTACCTTTCCTATTAAATGGATGATATACTCGATGACGATGGAAACGGAAACAAGAACAAAGCAAACAACGGCGACGGCCCACGTCGGAGTTTGCTCCAGTGACCTTCCTCCGCCGCCTCCGGCCATCTTCTCTATATATATGCTCCGCGCCGCCTCTTCCACTAGAATTATATATGAATTTCACTTTTTTTATTCAATAGTTCCACAGTTGGCAAAAGGAATTTTTAGAACAGACCAACTAACTGAAAAAAGGAAAGAGTGTACTGATTTAAGGTATGAACAAGAATGTCATAAATAGGTGTGCACATATATATATATATGTATAGAGAAAGAAAGAGGACAAAATTGGGAAAAGAAAAAAGAAAAAAGAACGAGGGGCAAAAAAGGAAAATGCTATCCATAACGTTTGACTTAATGCAAACGCGTGATAGTGATAGCTAGGTCTTGGTGGATTGATCTCTTGACTTTGATGAAACCATTCTAATTCATTTGACTATTGTGAATGGATTTTCTTATATATTAAAATAATAATATATTTCTTCAGTTTAAAACGTTGACCGTTGACCCCCCTCTGAGTGAGTGACGCCTATGGGGTGATCCTTTATCTCGAAGTGGGATTGATTTCCGGTCCTTTTAATTTGTCTATTTACAAACTTGACTTTTGACTTGCGTATATCACTTGTTTTAATTTATTACGTACGTATAATCAATTTTATAATTATGAAAGCTCGATTGCGTAATTGGTACACGGTACGCATCGATTTTTCTTGTCTAACGCTTTTTAAGTCGAGTTTGTATCGAACAACTTTTGCATTTTACCCGGTGCAGTTTACACATTTATTGTCATTTTCGAACAATTTAATACGAAAGTGGAATTTACTTAGTGTATGTAAACTCAATTTATATTTTTTTACCTTATATTATATCTATATATTTCTTTAGCCCATCCTATTTTTATTAATCAATCCATCCAAAATTCAAATTAATGCAAGAAAAAAATCTCAATTTTTATTAATTAATCCAGCCAAAATTCAAATTAATGCAAGAAAAATTCTAATTTTTTTACATTTCCTTTTTCTTTTTTCCAATTTTCTAATTTTATCACAAAAATATTCTAAAAAAATTTCGGGGACGCTGCCCCCGAAAATTTAAGCCCACCCTAAAAAAATAAATTCCTTGACTGACCACTGCTTTTACGGTTGTTGATTCCTCGAGACATGGTAAGTTGCATGCTTTGGTAAAATACAATGAGTACAAATTGAAGAAGGGTTATTTTATTTTTTATTTTTATTTTTTGAGAAGTTGATGAAGGAAATGAAGAATACAAAAAAAAAAAAAAAATCCCATTTTCGACATCATTTGTTGTTGCCCAACGGTGAAACCAATAAAAACATATTCGACTCAAAATTGATTCGTATTCAATTTGATTAAAGCTCGTTCGAACTTGGCTAAACTTCTTATTACCGAAATCAAACATAAATTTAAAATTTCGATAAAAAAAATAATATTAAACAGTCATGCATTTGACTCGATTCGATTTGTTTACAACAGGTTACCAAAAATCAATTAAATTGTCAAAGTAAAAACCCATTCTTGTTAAATTAGTGTTGGTGGTCCAGCTAGCTAATTGGGCCCGAACCTTTGGCCCATACCTAATCTATAGCCCGCATGACCTCGATAAATTTATTGAATTCAATTAATATTTATTAATGTTAAATTATTGTTTAATATTTTTTTTATTATTATTATTATTATTATTAATATTATTATATTACTAATGGGCCCCGCTATTCCTATAATTTATAATTTATTTATTAATTAATATTTAAATAGTAAAAGTAGGAGGAGCGTATAGAAGAATTTGAAAAACCTGTTCCCGCTCTTTTTCCTCCATTTAAACTTAGTATTAATATTAATTACTCTCCATTTTTTCTACAAAAAGATCCTGTAAAAAATCAGAAAGATTCCTCTCTGTTAAATCTGATTCGTATTAGCAATGGAAATCAATCCCACTCCATTTCCAGGTTTAATTATTTATTTATTTATTTATTTTTTTCGTGGTTTCGATTTTATTTGATGATTCTGTGTAATTTGAATCATCGGTTTTCCTGAATCTCGTCTGTTGAAATTGCAGTTGTTAAATCTGATCACGTGAAGCCAAAATCAACCAGGAAAATCTCCGAAGCCCCAAAAATCAATCTCAGGGAAAAACGAGTATTTGGAACTGCCCGGAACCCTAATTTACCTTCTAAATCGGCACCGGAAAAGCCGATCAAGGGCAAACCCTCGTCGGCGCTGCTAAAAAAATCGGTGAAGCCAATTCAAGCAACCCAATCGCCGCTCCCCGGTCCGCCGGAGGCTAAGAACGCGTCGGAGAAAACCCCGGCAAGGACGAAGAAGAAAAGCGTGTGCTTCCAGGAAAACCAGAAACTTTCCGGGGACGGAAAAGCAGGGGAGCCTCGAACTCCGGCGAAGTCGCCGGCGGCGGCAGTTCCAGAGAAGCCGCGCCACTCAGCCACGCCTTACCGCACGGCGGAGAAATGCAGCAAGTGCAGGTTCGACAAGCTCGAGACTTCGGCCTATTGGCTATCGCAGATCAAATTAGCCGAATCGGTTGGGAAACACTCTGTTTCTGCTGCTTTCTTCGGACTGGCTTTCGAATCCAAAGCAGAGGTATTCTAATTCGCTTAAGTAATTAATTGGAACATGTGTTTCGTTTATATATGATTTTCGCTTTGATTTTTGTTGATAGCTTATTGTTATGAATCTCTTATTATTTTTTTGTTAGCCGATTCGTAATATCCGAGTGGCGCTCAAGAAGTACACGGGGCGCCACGAGTATCTAAACGAGGAGCAAGAGTGGAAGAAACTGTCGGTTAGCTATGGGCTCGTGAAAGAAGAGAGCTATGTGAATAAGGAGGCAAGTGTTGTTGATAATCAAGAAAATGGTGATTTGGTTGATGAAATTGGTGATAAAGATGAGGTTTTGATGAATGAAAATGGTGAAGAAAAAAGATGAAAATTGAATAAAATCTTGATTTTTTTGTTGTTTTGTGAAGTTTGCATGGTTTTTTCTATGTTCTTTTTTGGGGGTTATGAAGTTTGTGGTGGGTAAAAAATTCAAGTGTTGTGTGAATTGTGGTGTAGGGAAAGTAATTAATAGCTAAGTTTATTGTTGTTGTTTTGATCATTTGATACAAGGATTGTAGATTTTTCCTATTTGTTCATGAATTGCTTTTTTTTTTTTTTTTGTTTAGTTTTTTTCTAGTTGATTATGACTAAAAAGTAGAAATTGAAACAATCACAAGAAAAAATGCAATTGGGCAAGCTATGTACGACGAACTCGATCTAGAAAGTGTTGGTGCGGAAATCGAACTCGAATCATTAGACGTCGCACTTTCTAGTAGGGGTGAGATCGGCTCGGATCGGGTCGGTTTTAGCCTAAAACCGAACCTGGAACCGAAATGGTCGGTTCACGAAGAACCAAAAACCAAACCGGTCGGTTCATGTCGGTTCGGTTCTAGTCGGTTTTTCGGTTTTTTTTTTCGGTTTCGGTTTTTTTTCAGTTCCTAAATTTTCGGTTCGGTTTCTTAACGGTTCCGGTTTTCGGGTCGGTTTTCAGCCCTTTTTTTTCTCTAAACTAAATTTAAATAAGCCCAAAATATGCTAAAAATAATTCAGCCCATTTTGAACCAACAAAGCCCAAAAAGAAACGAGCTGGGGCGGGTTATTGGGCTGGGGCGGGTTATTGGGCTGGGGCACATTAAAATTCAGAGAAAAAAAAAATCAGGAATATATATTAGGCCCTATCAAAACGACGTCGTTTCGGATCGGTTCGGTACATCGGCTCGGTTAACCACTTGAAAAACCGAGTGTGAACCGAAAATTTCGGTTCGGCGGAAATAAAAAACCGTATATGCGGTTCTTGCTTCGGGACGGCATATTTCGGGTCGGTTTTTCGGTTTTCGGTCCGGTTTTTCGGTTTTCGGATTTTTTTTCCTCACCCCTACTTTCTAGCAACTAAATCACACTTGCGTGCAAAAGACAAACTAATTTTATTCAACTGTGTTAATGATCCAGTTGCATTAGTGAAGTTATTAGAGCTCCTCAACCACCATTTTCTCTTTATTTATTTTTCGATGAATGCTATAGCCAAAAAACGGAGCCTACATTATTGAAAGTTGTCGCCGAGAGCCCTATATCGACAATTGGTATTAAGTGGAAATGAGCTATCAACCATGATTCATGACTATTTTATGTGACATTTTACCTATATCAACTATTTTGCAGTCGTCTTCAGTGGGGCCCGCATGATTCTTCCCCGGTTAAACTAGAATAGGTGCTTTCTCTTGTGTTTATATATGCTGCTAAGTAAACTTCGATTAGCTGTTTGTTCGGAATGCGGTAATAATAATAAGCCGTTGTAACATAGAAAGTGAAAAAGAATCGGTTGCAAAACTACGGCTCAACTATTTAGGAAGAAACATGTGTCGTATTCTAGATTATTCTTCGGGTGACTCATTTCGTGCTCCCCAAGTGTGCAAGGGGAATTATCTTCTGCTTGAGGTGTATGGTTAACATTGTGTGAACTGAAATTGTGTAATCTTAAATTCTTAATACAAGCTTAAAATTTTCTCAAAAAAAAAAAAAATTGCAAGCTTAAAATGAATTTGGAGTGTTTAAAATAGTTAGGGGTAAGATTGGCGTGTATAAAAAAATAGCATGCTTCTTTTTTAATTTAACTGTTTGTCATGGGCTTATATGCAATTCACCCCATATTTTTCACAATTGGAGAAATCATAATTTTGAACCGCCGCCCAGAAATTCTCCGGAAACAAATTTCGCCGCCGTCAGGGAGCGGAGGAGCATTCGTCCAATCCCAAAGGTTTCTCAACCGCCGCCGGCGAGGCGGCGACCGCCGCTATTTCGCAGTAAGAGCTTTACTTTCACACCCCTCCGCCCCCCTCCCGTTCAATTCAACATCCCGAATCCCTAAAATCGTTCCCCGACCCGTATTTTCTGGTGCAGGGTTGGACGGGTCGAAACCCTATTACTGATCTCTGGATATATATAGTCCAGAGAACTTGTTCTACATTACATATCTAACTGTAAATTTTCCTGAACTTTCAGTTCATCAAAATCATGATTTTTGTATATTTTGTTATTACTTGTTTTTTTTTTTTTTGTAATTACTTGTTCTACATTACATAATTATCTTGTTTCAGTTTATCAAAAAGATGCATTTTTCAACTTTTTATATTAGAGGTGTTATTTTGGCAGAAGAGTTGATAACAATGTCAAGGCAAGAAAGTAGTACCAATGAAGGAAGGAAGTTTAAGAGAGGAGACGAGGATGAAGATGATGAGGAAGATGGTAAGGGCCGTGAGGCGTGGGAGAGAACTTATGCAGACGAGCGATCATGGGAGTCTCTGCAAGAGGATGAATCCGGTCTTCTCCGACCAATTGACAACAAAACGCTGTACCATGCTCAGTATCGAAGACGCCTTCGCACGAGTACCACTACTCGGATTCAGAAAGGATTGATTCGTTACTTGTACATTGTCATCGATCTTTCTCGGGTATGTGTACTCACTGTGACTTTGCTATCATTCAAATTCAAGAGATAGTGTTAGTTAGTTAGTCTCTTCTTGTTGCTTTCCCTTTGAGTTGTACTGTAGAATTCAATTGATACTACAAAAGTGGATTGCGTTCTTTGGAATTCTGGAACTGGGATGTATACAAAGAAGTTAAAATTCTTTGAGGTTTCATTTGGATTGAAGGATTTAGATTTTGTAAGAGGATTTGTGTGAAGGGTTTCAATCTATTGCACATTTGCACCTAGTAAAATGTTTATAAGAATTATTCAAGAAACTCACTATAATCGGTCATGCCAATGAATCCATCCCACAACAACCCTTTTTACCGATGGATGCTAATGAAGTGGCATTACACGAGAATACATAATTGTTTTATCCGCATGTCTGTTGTATAATTTCACGAGATTACGATGCATTTATTATTTCACGTGTATGTAGGCAGCTGGAGAGACGGACTATAAACCAAGCCGCATGGTCGTTGTTGCCAGACAAGTGGAGGCTTTCATTAGGGAGTTCTTCGATCAAAACCCTTTGAGTCAAATCGGATTATTGACATTGAAAGACGGAGTAGCAAATTCCCTGACGGATCTTGGTGGAAGTCCCGAGTCACACATCAAAGCTTTGATGGGTAAGCTGACAAGCTCGGGCGATGCATCCCTCCAAAATGGCCTCGATCTTGTGCACAGCCACCTAAATCAGATGCCAACATATGGGCATCGTGAAGTTCTGATATTGTATTCCTCGCTTAACACTTGTGATCCGAGTGATATTATGGAAACCATCCAAAAATGCAAAGCTTCGAAAATCAGATGCTCGGTTATAGGTCTCTCTGCTGAGCTCTACATTTGCAAATATCTTTGTCAAGAAACTGGCGGATCGTACTATGTAGCCGTAGATGAGGTGAAATATATTTGTGATTGTTTTCAATTTATATGTGTTTTAAGGAAAACCCGAGTATTAAATTGCAAATTAATCTACAAATGGTTCCAATTTCAGCATCACTTGAAAGAATTGGTCTTTGAGCATGCACCGCCACCTCCAGCTATAGCGGAATTTGCAATTGCGAATTTGATCAAGATGGGATTTCCTCAAAGAGCAGCGGAAGGTGTAATTTCGATCTGTTCTTGTCATAAAGAGGCTAAGGTCGGTGGGGGCTACACTTGTCCGAGATGCAAAGCACGTATTTGCGATTTGCCTACAGAATGCCAGATTTGTGGACTGACACTCGTTTCTTCACCTCATCTGGCTCGATCTTACCACCATCTATTTCCTATAACCCCGTTTGATGACGTGGCACCATCGGTTTCAAGTGATCCACGCTATCTTGCAAAGAATTGCTTTGGTTGCCAACAAACTCTCCTGAATCCTGGTAAGTGTCCATTCGAAGCCCATTTCATTGCATAAATATGTGATGCAAGCATTATTTTTCGGTGACAATGCCTCAACACTTTGCTGTAATTGATGCAGGAAATATGCCGGGTTCTCGTGTTTGTTGTCCGAAATGCAAGCAGTATTTCTGCCTTGATTGTGACATTTACATTCACGAGAGCTTGCATAATTGCCCAGGTTGTGAGAGCTTCCGCCATTCTAAGTCCAATGGTACCGTTGAAGGATGACAGAATCGGCATTGCTTATGTCGTGTTTGAAACAGTTGGCGGTTGAAGAACTAGACAGGAAATTTGATTTTTTTTTCTTTTTAAGATTTTGATCGTGGTGGAGCAATCAACTTTTCGCCAGATATTGCTTTCTATTTTGAGACGAAGGATTAAATTATGCTCATATTTTGGGACGGGGAACTACTAGTAGAGCTTAGCCATTGAGTAGTAATAAACAAATAAACGAATGTATTAGTTTTGATATCTTCTTTTAATTTACAAAGACAAGTAGATCAATTTGTATACTCATTTTAAAGATTTTTGGTACAAGAATAGATTAATAGTGAAGTGTGAGAAATTTGGTGTTGTGTATATATATATACACACACACTCTGGCTGATCAAAGAACACGTGCTCAAACATCGAACTTATATTTCTATATATATCGAAATTTGGTAATCAGATTTACAAGACTACTCTCATCAAAACTAAGAGCATGAGGAGGATTCCTCTGTCCTAAAACCTTCTTCCCCTCTACAACTAGAAAATAATTTAAACTTGTTTTCAGTTTTCCTAATAATAAAATAAAAAGCTGTCATATGCACAATCTACCAAGTCAACCGATAATCGAGCCCCACCTGTTCCCGAGGACAAAATCCTGGATCAGCAAAAGTGCAGAGGGTTCATAGTGAGTGACTCTACCTATCAGAAGCAAAACTCTTGTGCTGGCAGCACAGTGATATGACTATAAATTTGCCAGATTCACTGTTCAAAATTGGTGTTAGCTCTTTCTTCAATTCGGCATATACATAGAGAATGAGGTACGGATCTTTTCTGGAAACAGCTGTCTTGTTCAAATGAAATGGCATCTGATATCATTCCTGCAGGGTTTTTACATAAAGAAGATAACTGCTCCGGATAAAGAGTCCCACATCGGCTTTTTAATTATTCCGAGTCTGAATCAATAGACAGATATAATCTTGGTCTTACTGAACGCCGTTGTCGAGGAAATGAGAATGGACTATCAGTGCTTTCCCTACTTGTCTTTCCTGACCTATTGTCGTTCATCCCCAGCAACAAAGATGCTGCCAAAGTAGAAATTAAAAAAAATATATCAATTAACAAAATAACTTGTCACACGATGGAGATCAACATTAAAGAACACAGGAGATCAACATTAAAGAACACATCAAACAACTGATGTAAGTAGGTGTGGAAATTCGAACATCACTCCCCTATTCCGACGATTCATCCAAATAAGTTTTCATTTTGGAACAATATTTTTCATTGCGAATTTCGGAAGTTCCGATTCCCCATTTTTTCTATGTTTTTTGGAACAGAAATTGGAGTACATATCGAATTCCAAATTCCGATCCCATTTTAATTTCTCGAAAATTCCATTTTTTACCGAAAACTACACTTAAATATAGAGTAACAAACCATACCGTTGTCTGGTAAAGAATCCAATGCACCATCCTTCTGTTTCAACTGTTGTCCTGGATTCAAATCATTTGCTGCAGCACCAGATTCACCTGGAACAACTCCGACACCATCACCAATCCTGAGAGAAATCCAATCCTCAGTACGAATACCATTAGAGACGTCCGGATTGTCTCTCGCATCAGACTGCTCGACTGATGGATCCGAAGGCCGTGTCGGGAGAAATATTTGAAGTGAAGGATCATTACTACCGAATGCTAAAGGATCATTATCTAATAAGCCATCATTCATAATATCAGAATGCTGGGCAGTAGACTCGGGGACAAGTGCAGTAGAAGATCCAATTGCAGTCTCTGCAGTTACCGTATAGCCATTAATGGATGAAGAACCATTAAGAGGATCGTGCTGCATTTCAACTAAGGCGTCAGAGACATCCACGTCTGGACCAAATAACTGAAAACCAGGACCCGTTTGACTAACAGAAGGCAAAGACCACATGTTTATTCCAAAGTCATCATCATTTGCACTGTAAATTCCACCAGCACCAAGAGCGGGACTTTCATAATATGGATCGGGAATTCCGTTATGTGCATCTGGAAATGGGATTCCACCAGCATTCTTGTAAACTCCAGGCGACATTAGTGTTTCGATTTCGTCTTCTGAATCACTGAGGACAATTACTTCAGGGTCCCCGCCAGATGCAGACACTACTCGATCGTTAAATCCATGTGCTGGATCGATTTTCATGGGAACGGAATTGTACTCGATACCATTAACTGTAGAAAAATCATCATCCTGGTTAACACTAACATCCCCGTAATCTCTGCCACTCCCAGTGGCACTGCTGCTCATAGCAATTACTTTGTCACCGTTATCAAATTTATTTGCAGGTAAGCTTCTCGACAAATTATCCCGTTTGTTAAATTCCCATATTCCGTTTTGGTTTTTTCTTATTCCTAATTTAAGACCAGCATGACTATCAGACCCAACTTCCTGTTTAACAGATTTAAGCTCCAGATTCGGTTTTGATTCTACGACCACTGAAGCACAGATACTACCATCAGGCAAATGCCACTGCCCAAGCTCCCCAATAGCCCTACGGTCACCCTCTGCCTTAGCACGCCAGGAGCCATCAGGCTTCACCTCAATGTCGGACACATCTTCTGCACAGGTCTGCATCTGTAAGACATCATTGAAAAAAAATTAATATGTATTGCAGAAGTGGACAACTTAGTCGCAAGGTGTAATGCAGAAAATACCTTAGATGTGATTCGATTGAAATATGGATCTATGATCATTTTCTCCAGAGAGTAGTTCTTCAGACAAATAGGACACTGCCACTGCACCGACAAAAACAACTCAAAAAACATAAGTAGGGAAGTCGGGAAATATACATCACAAAAAGAGGTTGTATGAGTTAGTTGACTTCAGGGTATCTATTATACTTAAGAATTGCATGTATCTCATCTGAAATTGCACAGGGAAAAAACCCATCAGAAAGGAAGCAAAAATAAATGACAAGGTGCCATGGTTACTTGCCTTCCTAGAGCGTTGATTCATTTCCACAAACACTTCAAGATCAAAACAGCCCATGTGCGCACAAGGCTTAAATCTTCCAGCCACCTTCATTCTTAAACCACTCATCTGCAGCATGAATAAATACATATTCGATATTTATGTGCAAGTAAAAGTGAATACAGATACAAGAAAATCATTTTAAAGTAATTATTAGTAATTAAACACAATGAAGGTAAATCTTTGTAAGGCTCAAAAATAATATTATAAACGGCATATGCGTCTTGGCCGAAGTCGTGATCTGTTAATGCATGCTTAAGGTTAGACCAGACCACATATACAAGTTATACTTAACAAGGGTCAGAAAATTATCTTAAAACAAAAATTCAGAAAACCAATCTCCCTCTTCTTGTCAAGCCAAAATAGTGGATTCATTAATCAGCAGTCATGCAATAAAAAGATATCATTAAGAGATTTACTTGTGTCTGACAAATGATACAGGCTCATCAGCAGCATTGCTGCAACATCACAGAATGTACACTATTTTCTCTTTATTAGCACCATAACGACTAGATAAGTGAATACTTACACATTATTTTCTTCGTAGTTTTTTTTTTAACTACAATCAATAGTCCAAGTATGCAAACACTAAAACTACTTACCGGACAACGGAGATTGACTGGAATGCAATCAGCAACAACTTCAATATCACTATCACTATCAGCATTTTCTGTGGCAGCTCCACCACCAACACATCTAAGAACACGAGCTAATGCGTCCTCAAAACGCTCTCCTTCATTCTCCTTTGGGATCATGTTAAGAACCTAACAAAGAGATTCCAAAAGTATTTATCTCTGCCAGTCACAAAATGGAAATAAACATGGAATTGCCAAAACCTTCCACAATTTTCTGATCTCAAAGTCGAGAACAATAACGCGAATTCCCATCAACCTTAAAGGGTCATAACTCATAAGCCGAGTGCAATTACAAAAGCTAATTTCCAATCAACAAAGAAGGGGAAAAACAAGAATAAAAACATTTCAACCCCAAAAAATGGTTAAAACAATTTGGTCAAGAAAATTTAGATATCCTAATAGCTATTGTTCAGATAGATGATAAGAGTACTTCATATGTAAGATACACATAAAGCAGCATCACATAAAAGCCTCGAGAAAGCCAGAAAACTCTACATATAGCCAAACAGGCATAAATCATATAAGAGATAAGTAAGCAAAGAACATATACTTATCCCCTCTAACCTTGAACTAAATACAGTAACCATGCTTCGGAATATATCAAAGCATAAAAATATAATGAAAATCAGCTGACCTGCTGAAGAGTGCGCCTCTTGACAATTCTAACTCCCACACAGAATATGCGAGCATCGCAACCTCCTAAGATGATCTTATTAATTCCATCCTTGGTGCATTGTGTAATCTAAAAAAAAAACATATACTAAGGAAAATTAAAAATCAACAAATAAAGTCCTGTGGAACACAGTGAAATGTTAAATTGAGGTCATTGACCTCCTCCTCCCAGAGCTCAAAAGGGAAAAAACAAAAAAAGGGGGAAACATAAAAAAGGATGTTTAAAAAGCTTATGAATAAAGAAAAGACCAAGAAAAACAAGTTACATCATGAGCATATGTATTGAGATGGACAATTGATAACAATAGATAACTACTGACAGTCATCCTTAGATTTCAAAGATGACATTTGAATCTTTGACAGAGCACAACGGAATAAAGGATCCATGTAACTAACCTTTGACGAACACGTGAAAAAAGGTTGGCGAGTTGAGTAATATTATAAAGCCGTCTATTCAATTTTCCAATTGAATATTTGCATCAAGAGAGTATTCGAAGGTGCAAAATGTGAAGGGAAGATTTGACAGACAACAAATAAAAAGAAAACTTTCATAACCAATGTCCCAGGAGGGGCATGGCAAAATTATCAGTAGATGAACTTGCAATGAAAACATGCTTCTCTTAAAACCAGCTATAGTAGAAACACCTCCTAAATAAGACTAATAGAGACAACGAAGAATTCTTAAACTTTCATAAACGGTTAAAAGATGTTTATGCGGAGAGAGAAAACTCACAACAGGTCCATCATCTCGACCATTCGCTCCCAACAGCTGAGAGCCCAGTCTGTTTATTGCCTTTACTGCTACACCTGTTTTATCAGAAAGGTAGAATGCTTTATGAGAAGAAAGTGAAAAAATAGGTCAAGTAAGTATGACAAAAGCTCCATTATTTACATGCCAAAAAAAAGTACCAGGGAATATAAATTTGACCGAACTTTGAAAAGCATGCATTCTTCAAGCAATTACTAAATACATTAGGACGTGAGCCATCAAGCCTACAGATATGTTATAGATTCCGGTTTTCACATGTATGACAGAGAGAAAAGATGATTTGGCACATTGTAATAGAGCTGCACTAGCTAAGTATATTCAATCTATTGATGAAAAGAAATCTAGCAATTATATACCAAATAGTATTTTCACTCTACCCAGTGCCTACAAGTGAGCAAATGTACCATTAATCTGTAGATCTGTCTGTTGGGGCCAATGCATTCTAAACGTCACCTTGTCATTAAGAAGCATGCACCATGCCTGATCATCAATACCACATACATCGTAAGCATTGATGTAATCAGCATATTTTGAACATTCAGAACATATAACTGTTACTATCACATAGCATTCTAGACAACCTGAACATCATATTCTTCTTTTGACAACAAGTCCCTGTCTGCCCTTGTCAGTTGAAATGTCTTCTCAATGCTCTGGCCCGGATTTGAACTGAAAGTCCACAAGGAGCCAGACACTTGAAAATTAATTGCAAACAAAATGAGCTTAAACAAAGAAATATAATCGGACAAATGAACAGCAAGAAGGCATTAAATGCATCAAAACAAGATGTTTGGAATGATATAGATTCTTTTCCAGGACTATAGTTATTCCCCAGGCAACAAATAAGCAGAACAAAACAGTCTTCATTACAAGACTACATGCTGAAAAAGTGCTTGAAAAAAACAACGGAAAGTAAACATCAGAACTATTAGTAAAATTTTAAAATTTTGACAAATGGCAAACAAACCAAGTGCAATACAAGATTTTATCACCCGTAAGAAATGTAAATCGGAGGAAAGTATGGTTGCACATCAAAATGCTTAATAGGAAAACTAGCCATAAGAACCAGCCATGATTTTCATCCAAACAAGAATAATATAAAATTACTTTTTAAGCTTATCACAAATTCGAAGTATATGCATTTACCTTGTCTGATCTAATCAACCTAAATGAGAATTTGGTACAGTTGGATGGAATACTACAGATGATTTTCACATAGATGGAAATTCACCTAGACAACAAGTATAACTTCATACAAAAATTAGCATTGTAGACTCATATAAAACTAATTTGATAGCAAATGCCATAAACAAGAAATTTCAAAAAAAAATTCAAGGGGTAACTTCACCTAGACAAATTACCACGACTATAGCAAGTGAAGAATGTTCACCAAATAAATGCATGCGATAGATCCAAAAGATTACTAGGAGCCAAGACTGAAGTTTTGTTCGGATTACATGACCAGTTGCAAGAAACTCGTTGCAGCTTGAGAGCAAATGCAGGCTCAGCAAGTAAATAGCTCAAATATTAGTACATTAGGACAAAGTTTTGCTTCAGTCTACATCAAAAGTTAAAAGGATATTGATAATAACTTGAGACAGAAACAGATATCCAGATTCGAAAAGTAAGTAGCAAAAACAGAGTACAGTGGTACGCCTTGAGCCTTTTAAATTAAAACTAATGCAAAAGGTTACAGCATGTACTTACCCGTCTATAGGAACACTCGTGATATTCAACTTCACAGGATGTAGGGGATGTGCAACCGTCACCCAGAAGCTGCATATTAAAAAAAAAAAAAACATCAGCCATACTATCAGGCGTTCAAAATCCACCATGTCAGACACCAAAAGGTTTTCAAAATTCAATCCAAGCACAGAGAAAACATGAAGCATTGACTGTATACGACTCTATAAGAGCACAGTATCTTGTTTTTTAGCTGTTTCACATAGAACAATAGATTATCTGCTGACTAATGCATCGAGAGCAAAAACCAAAATGTATGCTTTTGTCATAACCTGTTTGATAATCAAAAACCAAAGCATCCAAAACTAAATTGCAGCAGCAACAAGAGTCGGAAAGAATATTACTTAACTACCAGCTCACGAAACCGCAAGTCAGAATCGCTTAAATATATCAACCAAATAACCTTTTCATCAGTTACAAGCAAGACTCTGTTAAAATACTGCAAGATTATTCCTGGACATACTGCTACTTTGATTCAATGTACGTAATAAGTAATCGTAAAATTCTTCTGGATGAAATAGTTTGCATGAGTTAGAAGGGAAAATGGAAGATAAGCCCAATCACAGGCCATCGCATCTAGAACTCTATGGTAACACGGAGTTTCATCCAATCTCTGACCATTATGAATATGCTCAACAGACACACTTCTAGTTTTGGGTCTATCTTTTCCCCTTCGACATTAAAGTTCAAATCTGTTATAAAACAGAAAAGTGTCCGTCTTTCTTTTGCTTAACAAACGAGAGAAACTAACCAAACTACTACTAGATGACATAATCCAGGATAATCATTATATCCTAGAGAACCAACAAGATCCATAACAATAATCAGCTAGCAAATGCACAAGAAAATTTAGAAAAAACACTACGCATTCTGATTCTATCAGATAATGATACAAATAAATTAGGAAACTGGTCACTTACGGGTCAGACCGATTCAGTCTGCAAACTTCACAGTAAAAAATATCTGGGGGATTTGGTAAGACGCCCTCAATGGGTTTCTCAGGAATCAGCACACATGCTATATGCTGCCAGACATTACACCTAGGATCTTCACACTGCACCAGATTGCAAATTGTCAAAACCATACGGAGAAATAAAGTTTGGACGCAAAACTGTATGCCAACATGACAAACATTATCATATTTATAAGTTCAAATAGCATTCCACGATCTACATCAATATAAATGTGCTTAAACATACAATAAGCAAATATATTTTACCTTGACCATTGAATCAGTTGGCAGTGTGCTTCCGCAGAGGCAGCGTATCTTTTCCAACTGAAAAGATTCTTCAGTTTCCTCTTTGAATTTTATGTTTGTATTATCTGAGACAGATTGTGATTTTGAAGCCAGGCCAGGAGCCCCAGAACCCTGCATTTTTCTGAAGATAGCAAAGAGAAAACACAGGTAACATTATCTAATTAGAATATCCCCATTCTCTACTTTCTAGAAAAAAATTCCATTGTCTTCTATTTTTTTTTCTCTTTCAGCCCGTTTTCTGATTGATGTCAAAGGTAGGAATTGTAATTGAAGTACAGTGACTTTGACTGGGCTCTTATCATTGGAAAATGTGAATAAGCAAAAAATTGTAATTATACAAGATAAGAAAGAATGATAAAAGACCCTGAACATAGGTTTTGCGCAAGTCCATGTATCAAACAATAACAAAACACCTGTAAGTATCATCGACTATCTTTGCCACTCCCTCCTTTCCAACAGCATTTTTTTGGGCCCATGTTCCTGCAATGGTGAAATACAGTATCAGGTGCATATGTTCATGGAAAAAGTCAGCTTTGAAGTGCCAGCTTAGAAATGCATGCACGGTCTACAAATTATTGATTATGGAAGCCCTTTGTACTGGATGATCATGATACTTCCCGAAAATCGAAATTCGTGATCATTTGGAGAAACACCCAGTTTATTCAATAGGAGACCACAGTGGGTGGTTGACTCATTCCATGATAAAATTAAATCATTAATTGCAAGAAACCTTTGAAAACACTGATAACTATTTCTGAATAATATTCTACAGTCAATACAATTGGCTGAATCTCACGATTCACAACACCATCAAAGTTTTCAACTCCTAAGTACTCATACATGTATTAATTCTAATCTCAATATGGTCAAAGACGAGAAAAATAGTAAAACATAGGATACTAGGATGTATATGGTTATGGAGTAAGAACATGATCGTGCTCAAGGAAAGAAGCTCCTCAAGGGCAAAGTACATGAATTGATGACCTCATGTAACAGCGGTGCTACTTAAATTCAAATGTTCATAAATGAGAGAAGAGAAATGCAAATAATCGTATAAGAAAAATACACATCTCATGGCAGCCGATAGTACATATTTTAGAAGAAAAATAAATGGAATAGGTGATGTAAATCCTTGTTGTCTGTTGAAAAGATTTTTAACATCTTTAGAAGCTAAAAAATAAGAGATGCATTACGGTTTACCTTGCTCATCAGAGAGAACACCCAATATTCGATCAACAAGGTCCTGTGCCAAGACAATGCAGCAAACAATTAAACACCTTTTTGTATTCAAATGTACCAAAAGCTGACTATGGGAAATAAGCATGTTAATAGTCCTTACAAAGTTATGTGAAAGTCCACAGAAATTAAATTCAAAAACCAAAATGGGAAAAAAGAAGAATGAGATCAATCTCCAGATCCCAACCAGACTTGAAGGACTGTGATGCTTTGGATAACTTGCTTAAAATAAATGGGCAAGACCAGATACAGTGCACTTCATATACAAACATAAAGAGTAAGGGAAGCAAATTAGAAAAAAATCCAGCTCAATTTTTTGAACAATATAACAAAAGCAATCAACTGGTTTTAGTTCTCATCCACCCATCGCCTCAAGGCAATAAGAGAAACAAATAAAGGGAAGTAGTATCGCCGGCTGATTAACTGATTATAAAGATTCACCAACATCAGCAATATTTCTTAAATCTAAACCTGCTTCTTCCCCTGCTTGGAAAGACCTAGCTGGGTAAGTACATCCTTGAGCTCTTTTATCCGAAAATGTGTTAATTTGTCCTGCAAGACAGCAAACATATTCAGTCCTTCTACAGGAAATAAACATATTATAGTACCTAAGCACAATCCTGATTTCACCAAACCATAACAAGACCAACACAAGTAGACAGTTAAAAAGTATAATATAACAGATTGTGTGAGATATTGATGGTTTTATTCAAGGGATGAAAAGAGCGTGGACAACGAAAAAAACCTTAAGAATGATCATGCTTGGAAAGGATCAGTGATTGCAATAAAATAAATCCCTTGATTATTATGGGTAACTAGGAAAAAGGTCTAGGAATATTTTTAGTGTAAAAACATTCAGAACGGCGATCAACACCAGCACTCCCATCAAATAATGCAATTATGAGAGTGAGAGTTGAAGAGGACAAAATGTGTGATCTACTCCTCCACTTAGAAGACGAAACTATCTTCTTACCAGACACAGTGGAATTGTTGGAATTCAGTTTTTGAAACCATGTGGTAACAAATATGTTCACGTTGAAACAGTTGAAAAGGTTGGTGTAAGGTGATATCGTACACGGGTTTGGACTATTTAGCCATGGGCCACAATTAAATATCCAAATGATCACAAAAATCATATAATTGAGCATGCGCAATTGTGACTTTACGTAGCTAAAAGTCAAAATAGCTATTTTCTGCTTCAATTGGACAAAATCAACACAGTTTAACATGAAAATAACAATATACGGTACATCGTGTCCAATGGAATGATCAATCACCACAATGTTCGCACCGTACTAAAATTGAGAGTTAGGATAGAAAAATACAATCTTGTAGAAAACACCAACTCCATGCCAAAACAAAATTAATAAAAAAAAAAAAATTATATAAATTTACCGTGCAACTAGCCATAAGGTCCATTCTCAGAATAATCAGCAAATGATCAGTTAATTTCCAGTCAGAAGTTCCGATTCAACCTCCAATCCACAAGTGATCTACTCAAATAAAAACAGTCAGCAATCAAAAAAAAAACATCGGCATCATCAATCAACAAGCACATTAGACCCAAAACCAAAATCAACACCAAAAAGAAAAATTAAATTAAATCAAGCATAAATAAAAGCAATCGTGCACTCAAATTTCAGAAAAAAAAAAATTAAGATAGACTTACAGGAATAAATCAACACAAAGGTGTAAATCAATCAAACAAAATCAAGGACAGAACGAAATTGACGAGGCTTTTGGCGGTAAAACCAATAAGGGTTTTGGCACGGCGGCTCAGCTTTTTTCCGCCGCCTCTCTCACTCTCTCTCTCTCTCTCTCTCTCTCTCTCTCTCTCTCTCTCTCTCTCTCTCACACACACACACAGTCACTTTGACCCCAATAACCAGACGGAAGAGGAAGCTACCAAATTTGCCGGACGCATCGCCGGTTTATCAATTCCGGTTAATTTGCCGCAGACACGTCCGGGTTGCGATCACCTGCTATCCAGCCGACGTGTCACTTTAGGGTTTTTTCTTTTTCTTTTTTATTTTCTTTTTATACTTTTCGGAAAAACAAAAAATTCATGCGGTCATAGGTTTCGACGTAAGTGGGCTCGTGGGCCGTTGCGTTTTCTGAAAGAATATTTGAATATAATCATAAATCATAAATCATAATTTCAAAATTTTAATTTAAGCTACTTAATATTCAATTATATCTCAAGTTTAATAAAATTTAATTTGATGAACTGTTGGCTCATACAGTAATTTTGTCACGTATATGTTAAAAAGAACATAATATTGAATCAAAATAGTAAATGAATTGTTGTTATTTTGATTTTTATTAAAATATAATTTGGCTATATTAAAGTATATTTTTATTTCATTCTTATAATTTGTTGTGAGATCAATTGTGACCGCAACCAAGTAAGGAATGGCATTTCATTCTTTTTTTTCTATTACTTGTCGATACCATGTTTATACTATATGGAAATATATCGTGTCGTTAAAAAAAAACGCAATTGTTATTTAAAAGAATGTGCTGGAAATAGCAGAAACCGGATGGAAATAGCAGAAACCGCCCGAATGCGCTGAAAATCGAAACTAAATGACATCAAAGTATACTGAAAATTACATAAAGCTCATATGCCAAATTCACCCTCTAATGTCAAATTTTCAAATTCATAAATGAATCTTGTGTTTGCGAATCTCATAACACAATTATCTGTATATGTATTTCTGGTTTAGGATTAAAATTACGAGATAAAACATTACACTATTGATTCTGAAAATCAATACACCCTAATTATGAATAAATTTGAAGAGAATATGTGGCCAAGTAGTAATAGAGAAAAAGGGAAAAACAGCATAAGTAACAAAGCATTAAATTTAAAAGCTAAGGTCAAATAGTTCAATTCTAATCACTTGCAAGGAAACAACACAAAATTCTCGAGCCACCCAGTAAAAAACCGGAGCACCTCAAAACACACAACAGAATAAAACATTACTAAAATCGAACAATACTGACTCGATGCTGTAGATCCCGCCACCGCCTGTCCAACACCCAATTCTGGGATTGACAACCCAAAAGACAAGGGAGTGAAAGGCAAAAGCAAAACCACAGCCGACAAAACAAAACGACAAAACTAAAAATGGAGTTTTCATGACAAAGTTTATTAAAAAGATAAAATTCACTCGAACGAAAATTCGATTCAAGAACCTGCACCATTCACTTGGCACCCTTCTTGGCAGCAGCCTTGGTGACCTTGGCTCCTGATGGATCCTTCTTCTCCACACTCTTGATGACACCGACAGCAACTGTCTGACGCATGTCACGAACAGCAAAACGACCCAAAGGAGGGTACTCTGAGAAGGTCTCCACCACCATAGGCTTGGTCGGAATCATATTAACCATACCGGCATCACCATTCTTGAGGAACTTGGGCTCCTTCTCAATCTCCTTACCCGATCGCCTGTCGATCTTGGTCAAGATTTCCCTAAACTTGACAGCAATGTGGGATGTGTGACAGTCCAGCACTGGTGCATAACCGTTTCCAATCTGTCCAGGGTGGTTCATGATGATGACCTGGGATGTGAAGTTGGCAGCTTCCTTAGCAGGGTCGTCCTTCGAGTTGGATGCAACAAACCCACGCTTGAGATCCTTGACTGCAACGTTCTTGACGTTGAACCCAACATTGTCTCCGGGGAGAGCCTCGGGCATAGACTCGTGGTGCATCTCAACGGACTTAACCTCAGTGGTCAGACCAGTTGGTCCGAAAGTGACGAGCATACCAGGCTTGATCAAACCAGTCTCCACACGACCGACGGGCACCGTTCCAATACCACCAATCTTGTAGACATCCTGAAGTGGGAGACGGAGTGGCTTGTCTGAGGGCCTCTTTGGCTCAGAGATCAAGTCAAGAGCCTCGAGAAGGGTTGGGCCCTTGTACCAGTCAAGGTTGGTCGACCTCTCAATCATGTTGTCTCCCTCGAAACCAGAGATGGGAACGAATGGGATTTTGTCGGGGTTGTATCCGACCTTCTTCAGGTATGAAGACACCTCCTTGACAATTTCCTCGTACCTGCCCTTGGAGTACTTGGGTGTGGTGGCATCCATCTGTACAAAACAATTAATTCAGCAAATTAGACATTATAATATAATAATAGACAAATAAAGAATAAAACTCAACGAACAAGAAGTGTATACAATGTATTACCTTGTTACAACAACAGATCATCTGCTTGACTCCAAGAGTGAAAGCAAGAAGAGCATGCTCACGAGTCTGTCCATCCTTCGAAATACCGGCTTCGAAACCACCAGTGGTGGAGTCAATGATGAGGACAGCACAGTCAGCCTGGGAGGTTCCAGTAATCATGTTCTTGATGAAATCACGATGTCCGGGGGCATCGATGACTGTGCAGTAGTATTTGGTGGTCTCAAACTTCCACAGGGCAATATCAATGGTGATACCACGCTCACGCTCGGCCTTAAGCTTGTCCAAAACCCATGCGTACTTGAAGGACCTCTTGTTCATCTCAGCAGCCTCCTTCTCGAACCTCTCGATCACACGCTTGTCAATACCACCTAGCTTGTAGATCAAGTGACCAGTAGTGGTCGATTTCCCGGAGTCGACATGTCCAATGACGACAATGTTGATGTGAAACTTTTCTTTACCCATAGCGAATGGCTACAAACTGCAACTTTCAATCAAAACACTAAATTAGCCTTCAAACAACAAAACTATCTACATCAGCTGAACCAGCATACTGTTTGAATCGAGAAGATACATATTTTTCGACAAAGAGCTGATTATAATAATTCATCTGTGCATGCATATATCCCTCAAAGCAATTACAAACACGGTAAACACAAATAACACAGATCTACAAAATTTATACATATTAACCTATTCAAAATCTTTACATAAATGGATTATCAATAAAAGCAAACCAATCTCTTAGGCAGATGACATAAACACAGATCAAAATTCATTTCTTTCTAAATCAACGAAATTAATAAAGTCGATTGCATGAACGATTAAACAAGAGAAATTTATATACATGACCGGATATGGATAAAAAAAAGCATTAAATCACAAATCTGAACAAGCCATAATAAGATCTACAAATTAAAGACATCGGCATCGAAAATTGAACAAAAATCTAAGCAAAATCCGATCCAATTTGAGAAACAAAAAAGCATACTTCTGTTTTGCAAAACGGATTCAAAAACAATAAACAGATCGAAGAAGAAAATCGTAATGGATCTAACCTTGTAGGCAGATGTTAGAGAGAGAAAGAGAACGAGTCGCTTTGCCTACAAAACGGCCCTTAGCAGCAGCAGTGAAATTCGGAGAGGAGTGAAATTCTAGGGTTTTCTGGATATATATAGCAACGAGGCGGGCAAGAGCTAGGGCTTCTTTTGACTGTAGTTTTTCGTTGCTGAATTTACTAAAACACCCTTTGATGCTTCTGGAATATTCCGAGCTAACGGTAACGGCCTAACGGGTGGGGGAGTGTAATTCTGGACACATTGTGGCGACATATTTCTTCATATTCTTTTTATTTTTTTTATTATTAGTAATTATTAAAAGTAATGATAATTCATATATAGTGTTTTTCTATGTCATCTCTTATGGTTGGGTATTCCAATTCTTGTCCTTAATTATGAAAGTCGAAGCTAAATAAATTAACATTAATTTTCATGTAACTTTGTTATAATTTACAAGATCCTATCGACATTCTAAATATCGATTTTTATTTATTCTTTGATTTTTTATGTACACTTTTGTATAGTAGCATGCTTCGATTGCTGATTATCCAATTTTATTTTATTTTTCCTTAGTTTTTACTTACACTATAGTATAGCAGCTTGCAAACCATGTGAAAAAACGTAAATCACACTATACTAATTAACCGTATGTGACAAGTTCTATCTAACACCGTTGACAAAAGGAAATTTGAATTTAGGTCAATTGACACAAACCCACTTGCAGAACTTTTGGAAAACGATAGTTGAATACATATTAAATTGCGATGATAATATAATTTTGGAAAACATTTTATTGAATTATATTTTAGATATTAATATATTTATGTATTTTTTATATATATATAACAAGTAGGGGTGAGCAAGTCGGACCATTCAACCCGATGAGCCCGTTAAACTCGGTAAAAATCGCCCTGCTAGGACAGAACAGATAGGTCCATCTATAGGATTGCGTCCCGTCCTGCCCCGCTATACAGAACGACGTCGTTTTGGTTTATATTATATAGTATAATAAATTAATAATGTATAATACGAGAATAAAGTATCTCTTACATGTCAAAACTTATATCTATGACGACGACATCATCTTGTATTGTCTATGGTTATCTACTTTATTTTAAATTTTGTCTTATAAAGATTTGAATATAGTTACTATTTTTTTTTATGGTTAAAACGTATTAGTTTTATTTACTCGTAACATTTATCATTGATATTATTCACGTTTGTTTCAATTGAATTTTTTTCGTTTTGTCATTCATTTTAATTTCTAAATAATTTTGCGTAAAACTTATAAATTATTAAAGAAAATATTTTTTTTAAATGACGACGTGTTTTGACCCGTGAAGATTGGGTTCCTAAACCCACAATAAACCCGTCGTTAAAATCAAGAACCGTTGATTGACGGGACGATGACGGGTTTTGCTAGAACCTGCGGGTTTACGACCGCGCATAGGCCTAATAACAAGTGACTTTAAAAATTAAAGATTATTGTTAGTTTGCCCAATAAATCCTGCAGCCTCTAAATTAAGCCCAGCTCTAAAATGCAGCCCAACATCAGCATAATTCCCCAATACGACGTCGTACATCAATCCTCAGGTTCCCAATTCATCTTCTCCAAAGCTCCAATCTTCAAAACCATAGCCACCTTCTCCCCCCAAATCTCCGCCGCCTACGTCGCCATTGCCGCCACCGGAACCACCGTGTGTCACGACATAAGCTTCTGTAAGAACTGTTGTATCTCTGAATCTCGATTATTTCAGTTTCTCTGTACTCCATCGGAGAAATTTTGCCTTTAGATTTTAATTCTGCACTTTCTCTCTCTTCTTCCCGTGATTTGAAGTGCATTTAATGCTTTGATTGTCCATATTTGTTGCATCTCAGCCTCCATTGTTGTCTACTCTGAATTTCTCTACAAAAACTTTGATTATCCGATTTTTTTAGTTTTTTCCGTCGTCCACCAATTTCGAATCAACCTCAGCCCACCTCTCCTGCACTCATCTTTTTGTTTGGTAAATTACGAAAATGCACACACTGCGAAGAAATCAACTTCGCCATTTTCACTCCAATGGGACCTCTACATACAGTAACTTATATCTAACCCTTTCACAAACTCACAGTTCTTCCTCAAGCACAGTCCATAGGCAGTCAAATCCAGCCTCTCATTCCAATTCCTCCACACCCTTTTCTTTACTTCCCGATAAACGACAACCGGAAATCTCGTGTAGACTCTCCCACATTTCGTTTTATTCTACAAGAGTATATAAAGGTCATATACCAAGATCTTTGAGAAAGAGAATCAACAAAAGAGCAAGAATCGCAGCACAGCCCGTCCTGAACGAATCTCTTTATCAAGAAGCTGTATCCCGACTTCCTCCTAGATTCACACCCGAAGAGCTTCACGACGTAATATCCTCACAGAACGACCCCCTAGTGTGTCTCGAGCTTTTCAACTGGGCGACGCAACAGCACAGGTTCAGGCACAATTTGCTGACGTATCACATCACGATCAAGAAACTCGGTGCAGCTAAAATGTACGAGGAGATGGACTCCATTGTCAACCAGGTGCTAGCTATTCCTTCCATTGCTTCCGAGGCTCTTTATAATAGCATGATATATTATTTTACCGAAGCTAGGAAATTGGTTAGGGCTGTGAGTATATATAAGCACATGTGTCGCTCTAGGAAATTGGACTGCAGGCCGTCGATTAGAACCTACAACATACTATTTGCTGCACTTTTGAGTACGGGAAAGAATTCGTATATTAATCACATGTACATGGAGACTATACGGTGTTTGTTCAAGCAAATGGTTGATGACGGGGTCGAGCCCGATATTTTTTGTCTGAATTCTATGATCAAAGGGTATGTGCTTTCGCTTCATGTCAACGATGCCCTTCGAATTTTTCATCAGATGGAAGTGGTTTACAATTGCCAGCCTAATTCGTTTTCATATAATTATTTGGTACATGGGTTGTGTGCACAAGGCCGAACTGAAAACGCAAAGGAGCTTTGTGATAGAATGAAGAAAAACGGGTTTGTCCCGAGCAGTAAATCGTATAATTCACTTGTGAACGCTCTGGCGCTTGAGGGGGAAGTTGATGAAGCGGTGAAGTTCTTGTTTGAGATGGCGGAAAACGAAAGGTTAGCTGATTTTATTACTTATCGTACTGTTTTGGATGAAATATCACGACAGAAAGGGAATGAAGATGCTTTGAGGTTTTTAGAAAAGGTGCAAGAGAAGAAACTTGTCGATGGAAATACGTACAAAAAACTATTGTATGAACTGGAAGATGATAGTGGGAGTTCAAACTTCAGACGTTGATTCGAGTAATATGAATGAAGAGATGTCCTCTTTGATACGAACTTCCAAATTATTGCTTAAAGTCTTGCAAGTCCTACTTTATTTTTATCTTTTTAAATAAATGATCGAATATCATTTCCTAAATGTTCATACTGCTGCATGTATTTGGCTTCGGTGTGCTGTGCATATATATTTTTTTTTATAAGATAATTGCATTAACAGAAACGAAACGAACAAACATCAACAATGGGCCGACCTCCATTCCTGGGGATGAATCTGAATTTCCATTTAGGCCACAAACCCCAGTATCTAGGGATTTCTTCAAGGGGAACGAACAGCTGCTGTCCAGGGAAGAGAGCGATTCTTGCATTAATGCAGTCCGATTCAAAGATAGCATCTTTGAGATTTGCAAAGTTGATGAGTTTGCAGGCTTCAAGAACGGCACGATTCAGCAGCGAGAGAGTCGTGACGTTTGTGGGCTTTAGAGGAGGCAAAGACCACAGAAGGTGGCTGATCTTTTGGCTTTTCCAGTGGTCATCGTTGCATTTTGTGGCCATCGCCAGCAATTTCTGCAATGGGAAAGAGGAGGAAAGGAACCATGAGCAACTTTGTTTCTATTCATCCAAACAGATCAAATAAAACCGCTGCAAAAATGACAAGTTCATCACGAGAGGATTGAGAGATAAAGAAATTATTATTTTTATTCAGAATGAGAGCAAGCCAAGCCAAGCCGTAAGTGGTTCATTCCTAAAAGGATCAATACGAAATCGCCATTTAGAAATGAGGAGCCGCAAAAGAAGCAGTCAGTTTCTGGCAAAGGAAAAAAGGCGGTCGAGGTGGATTTTAGTAGGCAGAAGGTTGGAGGCCTTGCCACAGGAGAGATTTGGACTTTCAATGTACTGTGCATATTGCTGAAACTATATTGTTGACTTTGTAACTACTGAAGTAGTAAATACGTATTCTTGGCTCACAATACATAACGTCTTGAGAATCCTCGATTCTTGATCGTAAAAATATACGTAAAGAAGTATATTCGGAACGGTTCTCTATTATTCTCTGTGGCTGCAGCTAAGAGTACAAACACTTCACATGAATCCTATCCATGTCTATCTCCGTTTCTAACGTTATATTTTATTATATGATTAATAAGTCAGTTCATTTTGTGAAAAACTTCCAATTTTATACACATATTCTAGCCCCCAAAAATAACCCCTGGTCCACCCCTGAAGACACATATATGGAAAATATATATTAAAGAAATCATCTCTGAAGAAAAATCATGTAACATAAACACGAATTAAGCAAGAGAAATTTTACGAAGCAATATTAAAAATCAAACCATAAATAAAGATGAAAGTATGTCTGTAAACCAGAGTACTGCATACGGAATTCAAATGCTGTAAATCCGCCACCGCCTGTCTAGTACCCAATTCTGGGAATGGATACCAAACATACAAGGCAGAAAAATACAACACAACAAGCAATATAAAAATCCAAATAAAGCATTGTAAATCAGAAAAAAGTATTTAAGACATAAATTATGCAAATAATATTCTCCAGCTGAACCGAAAACCGGCAAAGTTCACTTGGCACCCTTCTTGGCAGCAGCCTTGGTGACCTTGGCTCCTGATGGGTCCTTCTTCTCAACACTCTTAATAACACCAACAGCAACTGTCTGACGCATGTCACGAACAGCGAAACGACCCAAAGGAGGGTACTCTGAGAAAGTTTCAACAACCATAGGCTTGGTCGGAATCATATTAACCATACCAGCATCTCCATTCTTGAGGAACTTGGGTTCCTTCTCAATCTCCTTACCCGATCGCCTGTCAATCTTGGTCAAGATTTCCCTAAACTTGACAGCAATGTGGGATGTGTGACAGTCGAGCACTGGTGCATAACCGTTTCCGATCTGACCAGGGTGGTTCATGATGATGACCTGGGAAGTGAAGTTAGCAGCTTCCTTAGCAGGGTCATCCTTTGAGTTCGAGGCAACAAAACCACGCTTCAAATCCTTGACTGCAACATTCTTGACATTGAACCCAACATTGTCTCCTGGAAGAGCCTCGGGCATGGACTCGTGGTGCATCTCAACTGACTTAACCTCAGTGGTCAAACCAGTTGGTCCGAAAGTGACGAGCATACCAGGCTTGATCAGACCGGTCTCCACACGACCGACAGGCACCGTTCCAATACCACCAATCTTGTAGACATCCTGAAGTGGGAGACGGAGTGGCTTGTCTGAGGGCCTCTTTGGCTCGGAGATCAGGTCAAGAGCCTCAAGAAGGGTTGGGCCCTTGTACCAGTCAAGGTTGGTCGACCTCTCAATCATGTTGTCTCCCTCGAAACCAGAGATGGGAACGAATGGGATTTTGTCTGGGTTGTATCCAACCTTCTTTAGGTATGAAGACACCTCCTTAACAATTTCCTCGTACCTACCCTTGGAGTACTTAGGTGTGGTGGCATCCATCTGCACAAAACAATGAAATAAAATTATTATACATCATAATATAATAAGAGATAAGCATGACAAAACACAATGTATATATACAATATATTACCTTGTTACAACAACAGATCATCTGCTTGACACCAAGAGTGAAAGCAAGAAGAGCATGCTCACGGGTCTGTCCATCCTTGGAAATACCAGCTTCGAAACCACCAGTGGTGGAGTCAATGATAAGGACAGCACAATCAGCCTGTGAGGTACCAGTAATCATGTTCTTGATGAAATCACGATGTCCCGGGGCATCGATGACGGTGCAGTAGTATTTGGTGGTCTCAAACTTCCACAAGGCAATATCAATGGTGATACCACGCTCACGCTCGGCCTTAAGCTTGTCCAAAACCCATGCGTACTTGAAGGACCTCTTGTTCATCTCAGCAGCCTCCTTCTCGAACCTCTCGATCACACGCTTGTCAATACCACCTAGCTTGTAGATCAAGTGACCGGTGGTGGTCGATTTCCCGGAGTCGACATGTCCAATGACGACAATGTTGATGTGAAACTTTTCTTTACCCATAATGGATGCTTAACTGCAATCATATCAAAATTAAATGAACAAGTCTGCATAAATGATAAAGAATAACAGATACCAAATAGAATCACTAAGAACTCATAGATTTTCAGCAATTATAAAAATATATCATCAAAATCACTCCGAATACAAATAAAAGGAAACTAATCTATCAACAGGCTAACATCATTACAAACATAATTGAGAACCCAAATTGTAGTTCATGAAACAAATTGACCGCATAACATACATCAAATTAAAAATTAATGATTCTCAAAGGAGACATTAAACATAAGATCAATACACACATGAACATAGATTTCAATAACTGCAAGGACAAAATTATTCCAAACTATGTTATTCTGCTGACAAAATCATGATCGGCCGTACGCTAGCTTCTTCAAAAATAATAAATTGAGACATGAAAACGCATACAAAATCGGCAAATACTCAGATCGGCTTCTAAAGAAAAGATCTAATTTTTTTCATCAAAACAGAATCGGCAAAAATTAATCAAACAAAAGGCAAACAACAGATTAAATCTAATCGAAACAATAGCAGTCAATTCAAAAATTATAAATCGACGAAACATGCAAACAACAGATTAAATCTAATCGAAACAAGAACAGTCAATTCAAAAATTATAAATCGACGAAACATGCAAACGAAAAGAGAGAAGATCATACCTTAAAATCAGAGAGCTGCTAGAGAGAGAAATAGCCTTCGCTGAAAACCCTAGCCGCAGAAGCAATCCAGAGAAGCGAAGAGCAAAGTGAGGTTCTGTAACGAGGATTCTGTGGGTTTATAAAGGGGTGCTGCTAGGGCTTATGTTGGAAACTTTTGGATGTAAATTACTATATTGTCCTTTTATGGATCCTTTTGGAAAGGGTATCTAATTAAGTGCGCTGAAGGGTATTTTTGGCATCCAAATTAAACCTAATTTTTTTCTTTTTGTATTTGTTGTGTGATTGAATAGTCTTACTTTCTTTTTCTTTGTGGCCAAGGAACAATTTTTATTTACACTAGATTTAATTCTAATTAAGAATTGTTATGAAAATAAATATATGATTTATTATGATTTTTTTAATCACATTAATTAGTCTTTGATTTAGATTATGCTTCTTGATAGTGAAAGGTCTTTTTTTACTAATTATGCATATACGCGTTAGCCAAGGTCTTTGTTTTGTAATTAGGTCAAACCTCTCTATAAAGTAATAAACTTAGGATTAGTAAATCTTGTTATTTTTTCCTCAAAAAAATAAAATCTTGTTAATTTTTTCCTCAAAAAAATAAAATCTTAATAATTAATTTTCCAAAAAACTATCTTGTAATTTTTATTATGGAAATATTTGTTAATTTTGTGGAGTAAAAATGACACCGAGTAATATTAATAATTTTCAATAAGTAATCAAATTTGGAGTAAAATAAACTAATTCCACTCTCTTAAATGACATTTTTTTTCACTTTTAATCCGCCGTGAAGATTGTACTACATACGTGAAATCCCCTTAACTCGTTCCCTTCTTCACCTCAAGAATCGGAGTTTCCCCAATTTGCCATAAACCCTAATTTTTCCTACTTAAAATTTCTTAATCTAATTTCTCAAATCCCCAATTTTTGCTTCGTCAAACATAGAAATCACTCATTATATAATGATAAATTAACTGACTTCAACTATACATCAAGTTGAAGAAAAGGAAGACATGTTTGAAAATCTTTCTTATGTTCTCACGTGAGTAGAACCATGTCGATGGGAGTATATACAGTAGAACCTCGATAAACCATGTCGATGGGCTCGCCTAAATAATTGTTTCTCTCGGTCCCAACTCGGTGAGAACATGTTAAATTATTACGAACGAGCGATAGATTGCATACATTTTCGCTTCATCCGTAAGAATATTCCAATTTAGCTAGATACAAGAATAAGGCATTGAACAAGAAAAAAAATAAAGGTATTTGGATCTAAATGGAAGGATTACAAATGATTTGAGCAAGCTCTATATCAAATACTTTCAAGAAATCGAAAACCGGAATTATATAACCTACTAGCAATCAGCAAGATACAGCAAACTGTATGAAAATCAAACATAGACCAAATATAAAAGCAAATCAAAATTAAATATTAAAGCCCATTAAATAATTCAGTACCACAACGAAAAACAAACCACCAAAACTGAAACAAAGTTTCAATGCTGTAAATCCTGCCACCGCCTGTCGAGTACCCAATTCTGCGAATGGCTACCAAACATACAGGGCAAGAAAATACAACACAACAAGCAATATAAAGGACCTACTAAAGCATTAAAAATACAAATAGAGTTTTTAAGACGCAAACAAAAGTCATGGGCAGAATAAGGATAACCGAAAACCAGCACAGTTCACTTGGCACCCTTCTTGGCAGCAGCCTTGGTAACCTTGGCTCCTGATGGGTCCTTCTTCTCAACACTCTTGATGACACCAACAGCAACTGTCTGACGCATGTCACGAACAGCAAAACGACCCAAAGGAGGGTACTCTGAGAAGGTCTCCACCACCATAGGCTTGGTCGGAATCATATTAACCATACCGGCATCACCATTCTTGAGGAACTTGGGCTCCTTCTCAATCTCCTTGCCCGATCGCCTGTCGATCTTGGTCAAGATTTCCCTAAACTTGACAGCAATGTGGGATGTGTGACAATCGAGGACTGGTGCATAACCGTTTCCAATCTGTCCGGGGTGGTTCATGATGATGACCTGGGAAGTGAAGTTAGCAGCTTCCTTAGCAGGGTCGTCCTTCGAGTTGGATGCAACAAACCCACGCTTGAGATCCTTGACTGCAACGTTCTTGACGTTGAACCCAACATTGTCTCCTGGGAGAGCCTCAGGCATAGACTCGTGGTGCATCTCAACAGACTTAACCTCAGTGGTCAAACCAGTAGGTCCAAAAGTGACGAGCATACCCGGCTTGATCAAACCAGTCTCAACACGACCGACGGGCACCGTTCCAATACCACCAATCTTGTAGACATCCTGAAGTGGGAGACGGAGTGGCTTGTCTGAGGGCCTCTTTGGCTCAGAGATTAAGTCAAGAGCCTCGAGAAGGGTTGGGCCCTTGTACCAGTCAAGGTTGGTTGACCTCTCAATCATGTTGTCACCCTCAAAACCAGAGATGGGAACGAATGGGATTTTGTCGGGGTTGTATCCAACCTTCTTGAGGTACGAAGACACCTCCTTGACAATTTCCTCATACCTACCCTTGGAGTACTTAGGAGTGGTGGCATCCATCTGAACACAACAATGAAATAAAATTATTAGACATTATAATATAATAACAGATAAGCATGACAAAACACGATGTATATATACAATATATTACCTTGTTACAACAACAGATCATCTGCTTGACACCAAGAGTGAAAGCAAGAAGAGCATGCTCACGGGTCTGTCCATCCTTGGAGATACCAGCTTCGAAACCACCAGTGGTGGAGTCGATGATAAGGACAGCACAATCAGCCTGGGAGGTTCCAGTAATCATGTTCTTGATGAAATCACGATGTCCGGGGGCATCGATGACTGTGCAGTAGTACTTCGTGGTCTCAAACTTCCACAAGGCAATATCAATGGTGATACCACGCTCACGCTCGGCCTTAAGCTTGTCCAAAACCCATGCGTACTTGAAGGACCTCTTGTTCATCTCAGCAGCCTCCTTCTCGAACCTCTCGATCACACGCTTGTCAATACCTCCTAGCTTGTAGATCAAGTGACCAGTGGTGGTCGATTTCCCGGAGTCGACATGTCCAATGACGACAATGTTGATGTGAAACTTTTCTTTACCCATGGTGAAAGGCTACGAACTGCAATTTTCAATCAAAATACATCAGTCTTCAAACAATAAAACTCTCTATATCAGCCTACCCAGAATACTGTTTTGAATGAGCAGATATTATTTTTTATCGACAAAAAATTGATTATAAAAATTCATCTGTGCATGCATATATCCCTTGAATGAATTACAAACACGGTAAACACAAATCATACAGATCTACAAAGTCATACAGATTAACAAATTCAAAATCTGTAAGCAGTGAAAAGTCAATTTCCAAAAACAATAAACAAAACATGTTTCAGTTCCTCAAATCGTTATCGACACCGTAGAACGTAAATAGAACTAAAAATAAAAACAGAATCTTGGATGCTATTTATTAAACAAAATTGTTTCACAAAAGCTTAGATCAGATAATCTGCAACCTTATTCACAGCCTTCTATTATTTTATCTTCAATCCTTTGAAAACCAGGAATATCTAATTTCGGTCAAAATTAAAATTTTCAAATAAAAAACAAATCGAGGCATGAAAAATCGCATCAGATGCTCAGATCGGATTCCTAAAGATTAAATCTAAATTTTCAAATCAAAACAAAATCGACATAAATTAATCAACAAAGACAAACAAAGGACTAAATTCCCATCGGAACAAGAACATACAAGCGTAAGATTGAATCTATGAACATGCAAAGCGAATTTGAGAGGAGGGGGAGGAGAAGAGATTTACCACAGAGAGAGAAAGGAGCCTTCGCAGAAAACCCTAGCCGCAGAAGCAATTCAGAGAAGCGAAGAGCAAAGTGAGGATGTGAACGCGAATTCTGTGATTTTATAGTGGGTGCTAGTAGGGCTTATGTGGGATTGTTTTCGTATATTTACTATATTGACCTTTCTTAGGTCCTTTTCCAAAGGATCTCTATTCAGGGCGGCCAAGGGTAGTACCGGTATCAAATTAAAAACATTATAATTTAGGGGTTATTGACAGTTCGGCCCCTTGAATTAGGGGGTCTATCATTCTACACGCTAACACTACAGAAATAGCACTTTGCCCCTTTGAGTTACGCATTATTTCAATTTACACCAAAATAGCGTTTTGCCCCTTTGAGTTAGGTGTTGTTTTCAATTTACAATCTAATATTACAAAAATAGCTTTTTGCCCCTTGAATTAGACTTAATTCAAGATTGCAAATAGTGTGAAATCGGGTTAGAGGCGGTTAGGCACCGCTTCATGATTACTTGACGCAACGCTTATTAATCGGCTATAAAACGGAAATAAATCGATTCTCAAATTTAATAAAATATATATCTGAAGATTATTTATAAATACTCAAAAAATATAAAAAGATATTTAAAGATGGTTCTATCCCAATCGTTTTATATACCATAATAACATAATAAATATTTAACAATAATAAGAACAGAATACAATTAAAAAATACAAATCTTCCGCATTCATTCAAAATTAGACTTGAACATTGCAAGCATAACATCATTAGGTCCTTTACAAAAATAATTTAAGTGATTAACATAACTAAGAATCTCGCTCACCAGACCCAAAGTCAAAGTCCGTTGCAAGCGGTCTAAGAAAGGCCCAACTCCGCTCCGCAAACTCGACTGGAGTAAACGACAAAAGAGGATGATGGAGACCTGCGGATTGTGAACGGCGCTCGGGAAACTCGTCAGGACTAAAAAGGTCGGGGAAAGTACGAAAAAGGAGATATAAATACACCGACAGACGTTCCAGTGGCACATTAAATGCCCTGACAATGGCATTTAATGTCCGAATGACCAAGTGCGGTCAGAAAGTCGGGGAAGCCAGGCGAAGAGTTCTCTGTCATACATAAATACAAGAAGCCTAGACATAGAGAAATCATCATAACCCGGGCCACCCGGGCAAAAGTGATAAAGCGGCCGCTCAAACCCACCCGTCCTAAATTCAGAGACTCTCGGAGAACGAGCCAAGCCAGAGGGACACTATAAATGGAAGC